GATGGCATAGAAACCAGGGCGAGCCACGGCAGCGTTCGGGAAGACTCGGACTGAATACAGAAGGCCAAACTGGGAGAACACTGCGGACAGAGAACGCTGTGGGAGGCCCACGACGTGAGTGCTCATCTCCAGCCACCGAGAAAACCCAGCTCCCACGAGTCTCCGCCCTCTCCACGCGGAGCACTTGTCCCCGCAGGAACAGGGGCTTCCTCCGAGGAGACAAGCGCGGGTGGCTAAGGGCGCACGCGTGGCTCACCAACAACCGGGTCCCCCTCCGCGCGAGCCCCGTCCGGTTCCCTCCTCCCTTCCCTCCGCGCGGCCACTCACAATTAAGGCCTCAGCTGGGGGACCGGCGCTCAGCTCCCACACCAACAAAACTTTGTCACTCTGGGTGGGAACCGCTAAAGAAATTAACTCCGCCATGGTAATGCCACTGCGCCTGCGCAACGAACTACCGCGAACTTCGAATTAGGAGCAGCAAAGAAGGGGCGGCGCTAGATGAGGACGGGGCGGAGCCCAGCCTCCACGGCTTTCGCTTTCCTAAAATTTAACACAGAGCAGGTATTTCAGTGCCATTGTCTTGCTATACACCACACACATATTCGGACACACCCTACTGGGTCTACGTGACATCTTTTTGTTGTTGTTTTGATTTTTGCTTTTCGAGACAGGGTTTCTCTGTAACTTTGGAGCCTGTCCTGGAACTAGCTCTGTAGACCAGGCTGGGCTTGAACTCACAAAGATCCGCCTGCCTCTGTTCTTTAAATGAACAACGTTAAAACTTATTCTCATATCTGCAATGTCGCATAATACAATTACCATTATGTACCTAGGCACCAAGCTTAAAGACAGAATCCAATCCGGTTTAACCATAACCACTAGAAGCAAAGAGTTTAAAGTCAGTTACCTGTGTAGAGACCAAATTCCTAACCAAGCCACTAGCCTCCCATGTTGTTTAATTGACTGGCTTTAAACATACTGCTTACAACGAACGGGAACACGGGAACATATGGCAGTATGATCACACTTGTGCAGTAATCTCTGATCCTAGGAAAACCAGCCAAGACGAACAACCATATTGACTGTTAACACTAGCAAACCCAGCCCAGCTAGTCTCATTTTGAACCGTTTGATGTCCCCGAGGGGGTGCACCGTTCCTGGAGGTACTGCAATACCAGGTCGATGCGTGGAGTGGACGGAGCAAGCTCCTATTCCAACTCCCAATTCCAAAAATCCATTTAATATATTGTCCTCGGATAGAGGACGTATCAGATATTAAACTGATAAGAACAGATACTACACTTGATCTTAGCCAAAAGGCCGAGAAGCGATAACTCAGCAAGCGCACGCGCCCGCTACACTCACCTGCGCGCACACATTCACATCGCGGTCGCCCACGCTCACGCGCCCGTGGACACGCGCCCGACACCGACTCTCCTGCTCTATCTATCCTGACACCGCCTCGTTTCCAGGGAAACCCTGTGAGTTCAGCGTGGGTCGAGGAGTTTTCGTTGTCCTTTTCGCTCCCAGAGTTCCTGGGAGCCGCGGCCACGGCCTCATTTGCATGCCCCGCCCAGCACGCGTTCTGTCTCTGCACTGCAGAGGGCCCCCGTGAACGCTGGTCTCTCTCAGCTTTTCTACCAGGTTCTTTGCAATCTTTCAGACACAGAATTGGCAGTAGCCACCACAAGAAGTAATCTCACTCTTTCTCCCTTCCCTTTCCATTTCCTGTCCCCCTCACTTTACATATGGTTCAGAGTGTTTTGTTGTGAAGTGGCAAGATCAACAATGGGTTTGGGTAGGGCTTCGATGGTGAGTATAACCCTCGGAGAATACACACTTTGACCAGCTCAAGGGATAGAAGGATTCTTGAGTAAACGGACCTTTTGATTTCCAGCACATATATATATGTAAACCTTCAGTTCCAGGGGAGCTAACCGACACACACACACATACAGAAAAAACATTAGTACACATAATATATAAATCTAAAATATACTAAATATAAAATATAAATTGAAAGACCCGGATAAATACAGACCTTCCCTGGGGTGGGGTCGCCAATTGGCAGGCTTTCTTGGAGGTGGAGTTTGGACTGAGGCAACCCCCAGGGAAGGGAGCTTTAAAATGAAACTTTCTGCCTAACATTGCAAAAAAGGATGCCAGGGGGCTGTAGTGAAGCCCCCTAACTAAACAATCCCAGACTCTTTGTATAAAGGGGTGCCAGGGAGCTGAGGATGCTTTTAACCAAGCAACACTGAGGAACCCTGTCTCAAAACAAAACAAAACAAAAAACGAAACAAAAAAAAGAGTTCTGGCCCAAGCTACTGAAGGACACAGTCGCAGAGTTAGAGAAACAAATTTGCAGAGAGGTGTGTGCCCTGTTCTGAGATGAGTTTGGGAGTGACAAGCTGGAGATAGGTGTCAGACAGCCATGGTCAAATGACAGCTAAACAGTTGTGGACAACATGCTGAGATGAGACCTGTCTGCAGATTTTTTTTTTAAAAGATATATTTATTTATTATGTATACAACTTTCTGCCTCCATGTATACCCAAACACCAGAGGAGGGCGCCAGATGGTTATAGATGGTTTGGAGCCACCATGTGGTTGCTGGGAATTGAACTCAGGACCTTTGGAAGAGCAGACGGCGCTCTTAACCACTGAGCCATCTCTCCAGCCCTGCAGATTTTTTTTGTGTCCCCGCAGCTCCCAAATAAATGACAGAGACGTCTTATGAATTAAGAAAGCTCGGCCAATAGCTTAGGCTGGTTTCTGTTTCTTATAACTTCAACAGCCCATTTCTATTCATTTACATTCTGTCTCATGATTTTGTTACCTCATCTCCACATGGCCCAGCCTGCTTGCCTTGCGTCTCATGGTGTCTCCGCCTTCTTCCCAGGGTTCTCTCTGCCCTGAAAATCCTGCCTAGTTATTGGCCATTTAGCTTTTTATCACACCAATCACAATGACGTATTTTCACACAGTGTAAAGAAATATTGCGCAACAGTGGGGACACTTTTTTCCTGTTAGTGGCACTAGAGATTGAAGCCAAGGTTTTGCGCATTCTAGGCAAGAGCTCTACCACGGAGCTATGCCTTCGGCCTTTCTTAATACTTAGAAACAGGGCCTGGCTAAGTTGCCTAGGATCTGAACTTGTGATTTTCCTGCCTCAGCTTCCAAAGTACCTAGAATTACACCCATGGGTCACTGTGCCCTGCTGGGAGTTTCTTACAACATGTTAACAGCTTGTAGCCAGAGACCACCAGGAACCTACCTACAGTGAAGCAAATTCGGCTTTTCCTTGGGGCACCTTGGTGAGATTGTGTTAGGAACAACTTGGCATGTGGTCTTGTGACAGGTGCTTTAAGGATAGAAGGAAGTAAGGCCTTCCTTTGAACAGGGTGCTCTTCTTAAGAAGTGGGGTCTAACTGGGCGGTGGTGGCGCAGGCCTTTAATCCCAGCACTCAGAAGGCAGGGGCAGGAGGATCTCTGTGAGCCTGGTCTACAGAGTGAGTTCCAGGACAAGCTCCAAAGCTACAGAGAAATCCTGTCTCAAAAAAACAAAACAAAACAAAAAAAGAAGTGGGGTCTGTGCTTCCTTGCAAGTGTCTGAATAGGTAACACAGAGATCTCCCACAGGGGAGGGGAGAGGAGAGCAAGGCCAAGGTCACGGTCATTAAAATGGTAGCCCTCACAGGTGAATGCCAAAGCAGCTTCCAGGGCTTCTTCCACCATTTCCAAATGCAAGACACATGTTGAGAGCTTTTCCTGGGTCTCAGGAGATGATTCCCCTCCCCAGGACATCCCCTTCCCCAGGACAGGATCTCACTAGGTAGTCCTGGCTGGCTTAGAACTTGCTATGTAGACCAGGCTGGCCTGGAATGAACAGAGATCCACTCTGCCTTCCATAAGAATTAAGTATACAGTGGTCTGCCTGCATGCAAGTCTGCAGGCCAGAAGAGGGCACCAGATCTCATTACAGATGGTTGTGAGCCACCATGTGGTTGCTGGGAATTGAACTTAGGACCTTTGGAAGAGCAGGCAGTGCTCTTAACCACTGAGCCATCTCTCCAGCCCTCAGTAAGAATTCTTTTGACCATATAAAAACCATGTAAATAAGGAAATGGGAGAATAGAGGCTTCCTTAATAGTATGTGAAACCAAGCTGGGCACTGTCTACCAGCCCAGCCTACATAGCAAGTTCCAGGACAGCAAGGACTACATAGACCTTGTCTCAGCAAAACCAAAGGATGTAAAACAGTCACCATGGCACCCTTCGGCTGTGTCACCCAAAAAACGAAGTCATCTTTCTAGAGGGTGAACAGAAAGACAAAAGACCATTTTCTTACTCAGATTATTGTTTTTGTACAACACAAAAAAAACACAAAAGACAAGGTGGTGGGCATCTTTAATCCCAGCACTCAGGAGGCTGTGGCAGGCAGATCTCTCTGAACTCCAGACCAGCCTGGGCTACCTAGCCAAGTTTCAGGCTGGCCAAGCTACACAGTGAGCCTAGTCTCAAAACCCAAAGCCAGTTGTTTGTGCTGCTAGCACTTCTGCAAACATCGCGAACATTCCTGTGACCTGCCTTGACTCTCTGCAAGAAATGCGGCAAGCACCAGCTCCGCAAAGGGACACCATATACGAAGGGCAGAGATTCTCTGTGTGCAGGGAAAGCGGTGTCATGGCAGGAGAGAGAGGCTGCGGTGGAACAGAAAGGCTGAGGCAATGAAGAGGGGAAGAGGGCTGTGCTGCGGCGCAAGCGTTCGAGCCCAGGTGCAGATCTCATGGTGCTGGCTGGTTAGAGATGCATTTGGACCTGGGAGGCTGGACAAAGAGAAGTGGCCAAGCGATGCAGCTCTAAGTTGGCTTTGCTACAGCAAGACTGAAACTATGAACCACTACTCAAAGAGCAAACAGAGAGAGAAATTTCAGGCTGTGAAAGTGTTCAGGCCTGTAATCCTAGCACTCAGGAGTGGTAGATTAGCTAGAGTTCAAGGCCAGCACAGAGAGAGAAGCAGCCAATAGAACTAAATAGTAAGGCTCTGTCTTTAAAAAAAAAAAATCATAAATTTTGTTTCTGACTTGAGATGGAGTGTTAGTTGAGGGAAGTTTCCCAGGTGCTGGGATTACTGGCCTGCTCCACCACGCTTGGCAGAATTAAAAATATTCCAGTTGTGGGGACTGGGAGATGGGTCAGCAGTTCTGCAGCCTGCAGCCGGGTGGTGGTGGTGGTGGTGGTGCACGCCTTTAACCCCTGCACTCGGGAGGCAGAGGCAGGCGGATCTCTGTGAGTTCAAGGCCAGCCTGGTCTACAAGAGCTAGTTCCAGGACAGGCTCCAAAGCTATAGAGAAAATTTCTCTGGGGGCGGGGGATAACATAAGCTCAAGAATGTATTTCAGATATTGTTAGTCAACACCCACAGTGGCAGGGGAAGTAAAATCGAAACCATTATCAGATCAGGAAGTGGATGTGAAGGACAGATAGCTGCAGCCTAGACGGGGACTGTGAGAGAGATCACATAGAGCAAGGGTCTCCGTTCAAACACTGGAGTATGGGCTCAGCAAAACTCAGAGCTGTCAGAAGCGTAGAGGGGAAAAGCTCCTTTGGCTTCTTCCTTTGGAGTATTTGAGGATAAGAAGAGCTGGGAACTCAGAAATGTATTTGAAATCTGGAATCAGATTTAGACTTTTGTGGTTCCGGGTTTAGGCATGACTGTCAGTGAGCATCCCTGCTTTGGGAGGATGGCTCAGATTTCATGGATATGGACTTTTACATCCTGAGAACAATGGAAATATGGGGTGTCTAGTGCTACGGCTCAATAGTAGAATGTGTCCCTGGAATACATGGGGGACAGAGATCAACGAAGTAAATCCATACTTTTCATTTTTGTTTTTTTTTTAAATTATAGCTTTATTTTTATTGCATAAATGTTTTACCTTCATGTATGTTTGCCACATGTGTGCCTGGTCCCTGTGGAGCTCAGAAGAGGACATCAGATCCTTTGGAGCAGGCGTTACAGGTGCTAGTTGATTACTAAGTATTTTTCTCAAAAAATAATTGCGTTTAAATAAAGTATTTCTACAAATCAATAAAAAATAGTGATTAATAATTGAACAGGAAAACAGGTGAATTTTTATCATCATTAGCGAGTAAGAAACCCTGATATAGGTACCATCAAACCTTTGCCAGAGGGCTGTCTGTCGAAGCATGTGTGTTAGAAAGAGGAGGAAATTCGAATTAGTCAAAGTGATGTGCTGGTGTGGAAATAGTTCTTGGTCACGCTACTTAGGGAAAAAGCACAACATCACTAATGAAAGTTTTACCTCATCTGTGAACAACACAAATGAACTGGAAGGAAGGACACATGACAAAATGTAACTGGAGTTTATTTTGGCTTGGAGGACACAGAAGAAGAGCAACAAGCTCCATGGAATGAATTTTCTAGCTTATCCTATAAACTCTGGGTCTTTCGTGTCTATTTTGCATGTGTGCATGTG